CTCTGTGCTGTCTGTCTCGCTCTGTGCTGTCTTTCTCGCTCTGTGCTGTCTTTCTCGCTCTGTGCTTTCTGTCTCGCTCTGTGCTTTCTGTCTCGCTCTGTGCTTTCTGTCTCGCTCTGTGTGGTCTGTCTCGCTCTGTGCTGTCTGTCTCGCTCTGTGCTGTCTGTCTCGCTATGTGTTCTCTGTCTCGCTCTGTGTTTTCTGTCTCACTCTGAACGATCTCTCTAGGGTTGCCACCTTTTCTTTAGGCCAAACCCGAACACTATAGCGCTTCACGGCAATTTGTTTGTACAGTATACACTATGCATGTATTTTGTAAATAAACGACATTTGAGTTAATCACAACTTACCAGTATGCCACAGGTCCCCAGATATGCATTCTGTAGATAAGTGTACAAAGCAGTACCCATATACCTTGCCGCAGTTCTTACCAGATATGCCAAAAGTAACGGGTGCTGGTAATGACTGCGGATGGCGCTGCTCACAACAGAACAACAATACAGATGTCTCCAGCACACCGGCACCAAGATCCCATGTTACTGCAAAATCCATTTGATTGGTAGTTGTCATTCCTAAGACAAGCACTTTCTGGGCCGCGCCGGGTCCCCTTCATCAGGCTCAGAATGGCATTCTATTATGTCCATATAAAAGTTGTGGCCCTTTTATGTAATGCTATTTCTGAGCCTGATGAAGGGGAGCCTGATGAAGGGGACCGTGCCCAGCCCAGAAAGCGCTTGTCGTTTGAATAACAACTATCAATTAAAATAGATTTGCAGTAACATGGGATCTTGGTGTTGGTGACATCTGTTTTGGAGTTCAGATATGTACTATGGCACATAAAAGATGCTCCCACAAAAGATGTCACAGGTTACTTGTGGCATTTTTTATGGGGGCACGTTTTATGGTCTATACTAGCCCCCCCCCCTTTTCAATTGATATTTAATACAGTATAATATAATATATATATATACACGGTTACCTGTTAGTAGTGGAGACTGGGGCGTGAGACTGGGGTGGTGCCGGCTATTTGGTCCCAGATGACAGCGCATGGTAGAGATGGTGATTTTGGAGGACCTCCCTGATGTCACTTCCTCCCACCTAGTCCCTGCCGCGGAGGAGAAAAACAGAGGGAGGGACTCGACAAGTGACAGTGGCGGCACCAGCAGGGAGCCACAAGTCCGGTGTGAATAATGTGCTCGGGTGTGATTCGGGCTCACAAACGAGCACAGGATTCCAAAACCCGTTGTTCTATCAAAGTTTGTGACTAGGTTGGAATGTGTGAGCGGTCACGTGGTCACACATTTTAACGTAATCCCACCCAGTTTTTTTGGCGATGAAATCTGTAACCGGCAATATGTCTCACATTCTACAAAGTCGGACAGAAGTGAGCTGTCCCGGGGCAGATCAGTTCTCCAGCACATACCATCTCTGATGCCGATCTGCCCTGGAAGATCTCACAAAGCGTTGTAATGCTTGACCTAATGGGTGGTCACACATTCCACCGCCGGAAAACTGGGCGGGATTACGTTACGCTGGGTGGCAACCCTGGAGACTTTGCATGCCTCTGCGGCAAAAAATCCTCCGCCCACAATTTTTAATTTTACTAAGTTGCATTTATTAGCTGTTTCCACCAGCCGCACGTCTACCGCAATGTCCCATTGCTGGAACACAAGGGTTTGCATATATATTGTTTCCTTGCGTTCTGGGGTAGGAGGGGGAGTGGCAGTCCCATCAAGTCAATGGCACTGCAGAAATGCCCCCGCCCACAGTACGATCGGCCGCGAAGGAACGTGCGGTCATAAAATCCCCTGCATTCCAGTGTAGTGGGATCGCAAAAAATCATGCATGAACGATTTTTTGGGATCCCACCGCATTGGAACGCAGGGCATTTTATTACCGCACGTAACTGTGCGGCTGATCGTACTGTGGGCGGGTCTGCAGTGCCATTGACTTGAATGGCACTGCCACTCCCCCGTCCCTCCCCAGAGCGCAGGGAGACTTTATATAGGTGATAACTTGCGTTCCGGGCACGGGACATTGCGGTAGATGTGCGGGCAGGTGGAAACAAGCCTTTAAGTAGAACACCAGACATACGTTTTATTTGTTTTGTGTGTATTAAAATATATCACATAACATCTGTGTCCCCGACCTTCATTTCCTATTGTGTCACCTATAAAGAAATTGTGTCAGGTTTTGTTCCCCTGCC